TTCCACACTCCTCTTCACTCGCCTCGCCTCACCTTCACCTCTTCTCCCTCACACACACGCACGCATTCCATGTCTGGTCATGATGGCATTCTCGAGGTGACGACAACCGCTGTCACACGAGTCCAATCCCTTGCCCCATCATCCTTGCTATCGCCATTTGCAGCTTGACATGATCTACTGTAGTGGTTCACTTGAGGCAATGGACTGAGTGACGAGTGGAGTCAGCATCTCCCTCCGAGTGTGTGTGTATGCGATTGAGTTTGGACTGACTTTGCCAAACACGCGACTGTGATGGAGCAGCACACGAGTAGCTGCAGTACTCTTGTGCACCCTTTTTTGTGCCATTTTTTGTTTCGCTTTACCCTCATAATTTCATACCCTATTTCTGGATGAAGGCTCCACCTTATTTGTGTATTTGATGCTACGTATTTTGTTTTTCTGTTGCCTTTCTGCGTTCTGCTGCGATTGTCGTCAAATTATTTATTTTCCTTTTGTTCATAGAGTCGCAACCTCTGGCTTAATCTTTACGCCGCATGAATCCATTCTTTTTTATTTTAAAGTATCTTGGGATCTTTCAAATAACATGAATTCCATCCAAACTTTACATTGTCTTGGGCATGAACGGATCCCTTTATTCCCACCGCTTTCGAGGCTTTATTATCTCTCATTCAACTAATCATCACACAGAATGCACAGGATGGCATCCATCTTAGCAGTTATCCATTAGTGCATGCCTTTCAAGGTTGGAAAGGACTTTCTATTCACCTTGCCTACTTGGTTCAGATCCACCACCCCAGTTAAAGTATACGCAATTCTACTTTGTGAAGAGGGTGCACACATTTTGTCAAACAATGCCTTCATAAGCGGCGGTGGAGGTGTTTCATGTGGATGACCTTCAATTGCTAACACCTCCCGGTTTATTGTGGCGGTGTACACCAAACATTGCTCTCTCTGTTGCCGGCTTCTTACTCTAAACACTCGACACCAATACCTCGAGGAAAGACTTGTCGGATTTGGATGCCAACCTGTCCCAGACCCGCTTCAAATATCCCTGTGTGTGTATGTGCATAAAATGTGGCAATACAAAAGCCAACAAATTCAACTTACGGTTGAGCAGAATTACGATCCCTTTGGTACTGATAGTGTAGCATTTCTGCCGATGGTGCCAACTTTCTATCCTCAGAGGGTTGCACATAATAAGGCTGGGTAGAATTGGCCATATTTGGCACATATGAATTTGACTTCTCCTTCAAGTTGGATTCACTGTCTGAACGATTTTTGGATGGTTTGGCGGGTTCACTCCTCCGTCGCCTAGGGTAAAGCGTCAAAATGCACATCAACATTGTAACACGAAAGTTCCCAAGTCGAGAGGATGCAAGGTGGTACATGTAAACCCCCCTCTATTAGTGTGATAATTAAACAAGGTGTCCATTTGATTGACATCATCAGCGATGTTCCCTCAACAACCGAGATGCCTCTGCTCGAAGCTCGTGCCAATTTGACAAGTTAACAATGCCAACCCAGCCCAACCCAGTGCACTGACATGACACACCAGCAAATAAAGCAAAACGTGCACTGACACACACAAAAAAAAATTGACCACTAACGAAAAGCGTAGCCTCAACTGCGTCGTTGTGCACTACTTCGCATTACATCAGAACCTCAACCGCTCACAAATGATGCAACCAGTTGCATTGATCACCACTCGATGTGCAATTGTGCATTATCCCTTCTCACACATACTCTCACAACCAAAAAAAGAAAACAAAATTTATGTGCACACCCTGGAGAATGCGAGTGAAATTAGCGCGGTGTATGTGTGTGTGTGTGTGTGTGCCAACAGCGACCTCTTCAGTCTGTGCTTCAACAGTAATAGTCACTGTGACTCACCAAATGAAACAGGCGAGAAGGGAGATGATCACTATAATAATGACCACCGCGAGAACGACACCACAGGCTGAAAGAGGTTGGACAGTGGTTTAATGGACATAGTCAACTTTGAGGTGGATAAGTGCGGTCGAGGCGAAGACGGCCTACCTATGCCCACGGTTACCCATTTATCCATGAATATCTCTGACAAATCGTTATCGTCGTCTAAAAAATAAGAACACAAGAGAGTGTGGCGATAAGAACTGATGTGTTGATTTTGCTGGCAAAAGTGTGCATATAATGGCAATGCTATAGTTAAGGTTAGTACGATCGGCATGTAGAAGTGAAAGAAAAGTTGTGGTTCTTGGAGGAGGTATTAAAATGAAATGGAAAGAGATTACACTTTAAGGGGTATATTTAAAAAAGCAGTAGTTGGCCAGAGCTCTGAAACGTTGAGTCGGCTAAAGGTGGAGGTTGAATGATACCAAAGGAGGGGTAGCAAAAGAAAAAGCCTAGAGATGCTTATGTCGAAAGCTTCCTGAGGCAGGCAAGAGGATTAATAGGAAATACTGCTATTTAATTGTTAAAGGAGCTACATATTATACAAAAATCCACGAAAAAAAAGGAGCTTACAGCAGTAGGTAGGAAAAGGGAATATAAGAAGGGCTGTGAAAGGTTTAGGAAGGGTACACAAGAGTACTGCAGCTACTCGTGTGCTGTTCCATGACAGTCGCGTGTTTGGCAAAGTCAGTCCAAACTCAATCGCATACACACACACTCGGAGGGAGATGCTGACTCCACTCGTCACTCAGTCCATCAGCTCAAGTGAACCACTACAGTAGATCATGTCAAGCCGCAAATGGCGATAGCAAGGATGATGAGGCAAGGGATTGGATTCGTGTGACAGCGGTTGTCGTCACCTCGAGAATGCCATCATGACCAGACGTGGTATGTGTGCGTGTGTGTGAGGGAGAAGAGGTGAAGGTGAGGCGAGGCGAGTGAAGAGGAGTGTGGAA